TAGAGAACACCACAATAACTTTCGGAGGGTAGGGGGGGAGGGGGAGGGGGGACAAACAGGCTCACAACGTAACCGTCATTCTGTATATCAACCTTTAAATGCAAACACTAGACAAACTGCAAAGAGTTACTTTAAGTTAATACAGGCCATACACCATAAAAACATCATTGATAAAGCCATTTTGACTCAAACTCCCCCTAAGGGAATGGCTAGACAGATTACAAAACTCACGGCATTTATTAGACCTTCCTCCCCCACGGAGCAACTCAGGGAGGCAGTGCACCTGAACACGCAGACATGGCTGCAGAAAAGCCTCCTTATACTGCAGCAACACTACGCCAAAATTGTGTTAGAATATCAATACACAATATGGGATGATATAGCCTTTCAGGTGGCAGCAAATTGGATGGCAAAACGCTATAAGGCTAGATTAGCTGCAGACACTCTAGGAGTTGCTAGATCCTTACTGATTGAACAATTGGAGGGCTCAGACCTCTCTACTTCCTCGCCACTGGTAGATTCTGTGGAAGAAGAAACACCAGAGGAATTAGATTTAGAGAATAAGGAGGAATTTCCACCGTTGAGCCAAGTCAATAGACTAAACCAAACCTCCCTGTATCCTGAAGTTCAGATCATGAGGAACCCCATCGCCCGGGATTCACAATCGACTCCCTTATTAGATGATTGTGTACCACCACCACAATTCAATATCACTGGGAGTATTCTGCCAAATCGGGTTATCTCCCCTGTTCTCCCTGATAGCAATCAGCGGTCTATTGAGCTTACTCTCGGTTCAAAACCAACAGATGAAAGGCCCTCTGTGCCACCGCCTTCTCCTCATGAGCCTTCTTGTCCTCTCTCTTCTGTACATCCAGAGTTGATTTTAGGGGAGGGGGAGAGACCTGGGGGACTTGAAGTTAGACCTGTGGCCCCTCAGATTGACGAGGATTTGTTCCAACCCACAATAAATAGGGAGAAATCTACAAATAGAACAAACAGAAGTGAGATACAAATTAGATCTGATCCACAGAAAAATGTGACCACGACTAAGTCTCATTCACTGCACTTGCCTAAAAATGTATATTCTAATGTTGCGGTTTTACAGAATAGCCTGGAGATACATACCTTCAGCCAGGGATCTCAAACGACCAACAAAACCTTTCCCTCCGCTGTCAGGGCCTTAGCCAACGATGCAGGGACGTCCCCTGGGGGAGCACAGAGCATGGACTTGAACTCCATTGGTGAAAGGAGCGTGAGCGGCCGAACGAAATTGGTGGCAAACAACTCCAACATGATGATGGGGGGGTCTGTAAACCACAGTGTGACTAGACACAAAGGCATGAAGGCCCCATCTGACTACAAAAATGACCACCTGGCCGCTCCTCCAACCAACCTCGGCTCCTCCAGGGGCTCCGCTCCTGCAACAACAGAAAACAGATCAGAAAGACAGACAGTCACCGAGAATCAACAGGTTGAAAACACTAACCAGTGCCGCCCGATGTACCATAAAGCCCGAAAGGGCAGAAAAGTCATAGATTGGACATTTCGTGGGACTCGACCAGTCTGGTTCTTAGGGGACTCCAATCTAAGTCGTGTACCAGCCTACAATAATGATAAAATACAGATTGATAGTTACCCAGGGGCCTCATTTTATCACTTTCTCCAGATCCTGGAAAAAACACAAATCCATCCAGATGTCAAACTCGTAATTTTATCCATCGGAATTAATAATAGGGATCAAGATGCAGACAAGACTTCCAACAAACAATTAAGAATGCTCTACAAAAGGGCACAATCGGTTTTCCCAAATGCTGACGTGCTCTTTCCTTTAATTAACTTCTCGCCCCTGCTTCCAAAGGAACAGCAGCAGAATCTGATCAGCATCAATAACTTTGCGAGCAAACGATTCCAGATACTGAACCCGCTCCCGAATGACCAGTTTAATACGGTGGGGGACAATATCCACTGGACACCAGAAACAGCCCAGAACATAATGGTGAACTGGTGCAAACAGGTGCAAATAGACTTCTAATAGACTCTTTCTTCAAAATGAAACTTAAATAGACTTCTAAATGATATATCCCCCCCTTTTTCAAAATTGCAGAATAATAGTGGCCAACAGGAAAAATAAAAACCTTAAAGATATGTTGGTTAGAACCAGACTCGGAGGCCATCAACAGGGAGGAACACGAGGCTTAGATCGGCATTTCTTAAATGGAGTACAATACCTGTTTTACCCACATGGTGGTGCTGGAGCTCCAATCTTGGACAACTTCACATTCAAGAGTAGAAACATAGTTTATGGCGTTATTGGTAAACAATGTTTATTAATATATGTCAGTGAAACGGGTCAGACTCTGATGGAAAGATTGAAACAACACTTGTATAGCATCAAGATAGACAGATTGAATACTCCTCTAGTTAGACATTTTCAAATCCATTCATCAAACTCCCTGGGTATCTTGGGACTGCAATCCTGTGCATCGTGGACTGAGGGACAGAGAAGGAGACATGAGGACCTGTGGATCAGAAAACTAAACACCAAAGCTCCTCTTGGGCTAAACTTCAAATGACATCAGTGAATGTTGACTTGCTATCCTCTGTTATTGAATGTGACAATAAAGTTAGTTTTACCACAGAAGTGTTGCTAGGAGTGCTTAAGTATTTACTTTACTTAAATCACAGTTTTAGTACGATCTGTGTGGGTCTTACCATGTCATGGTATTACAATCACTTGTTACAGTTGGTCTCTTTGCTTCCCACAAAAAAAAAAAAAAAATTAAACTTACCTGTAATACTTACCTTGACCGCTATATTTCCTCCAAGGAGAGGCATCTAGGTCTAGAAGGTGTGAGCTCCAATTGGAGCCTGATCTTTTTCTTGTTTTCTTTCTTATCTGTGGGAAAGTAGCATTTAAATACAAAAAATGAGTCCACTGTAAATACCATTAGGATCATTAGTTAATATATTTGAAAGAATGACATCATATTAGCATATATACATACATATATTTAAATGTGCTTATTATTATTCTTCACAAATATAATGCAATAAGGCATACAGAAAGACCCACCAGGGGATCAGTGGAGAATAAAGGTCTCCAGTACAGGGGATACAGGAGTGAATGGGTTGAATATTATGGACCTCTGTTGCCAGTGCACCTGAACCGTACTGATGGAATAACAAAAGCTCATGTTCCTAATACCCCACCCACTGGAATCCTAATTTGTCCCAAAACCCTTACAAAATGAGCCCCAACCCATATTCTGGCCCTAACCCTAACCACTCCATTAATCTGGCCCTAACCCTAACCTAATTAACCCTAATCTGGCCCCAACCCTATTCTGGCCTTAACCCCAATTAATTGGGTTTATAATTCATAATTAAAAATATTTTTTGATTTGGCCCTAACACCAAAATTACTGGATAAAAATTATTTACAATTAATTAAAAACACTCAATTCATGACTTTCATTAAAAAATTAGAAAACATATATTACGTATACAATTGGGGTTAAAAATACTACATACACAATAAAACAATACAGTAGACATGGTTACATGTGGTTAAAAAATTGTTTCTACGATTATAAATTATTTACATGGTTAAAAAATTAAAAACTTTCTAAAAACATGTTTTTGCCAGTGAGGAGTGATTAAAAAATACATTTGTAAAAATTCTATTCGAAAAACTAAAAGCGAAGAGCTAAAAATACTAATTTGGCTTTCTAAAACTAAATTCGAACTGAAAAAAAGTGGGAGGGTATAAATAGAAGGGGAAGGCACTCGCTGCTCATTCCACTCCAAACCATCGGACGGAGCAGACCTCTGAGAGCAAGCCTGTTTTTCTTTCTGTGTGTGCCTAGGCCTGAAGAAGACCTTCACAGGTCGAAACGTTGCCACATAGGCACACAAATTCATTTGGCCTGTTATAATTTAATTTGATTTCTTTTTTTAATAACTAAAAGGTTTTTTTCAAAACCAATTTATTTTTTTATTTCATTTCTTTAAAAATTTAAGTTAAAAATTACATATTTAAGTTAAAACCTTAAAAATTTACTTTAAAAATTTAATTTAAACTTTGGTAGAAAAACCAATTAAAAAAAACACTCGCCTCCATCCAACTCACCATGGTTGGATGGACTTCTGACTGGACCCTGGTGCGCCATGGCGGACGCCGTGGACAATCCAAGGTCCAGGCCCCTTACCGAGGGATGGCCCGTGCACCGCCCGCCTCCAATTGGAGGAGGGGCCCAAACACTCATCCTCACTGCGTTCTCTTTCACAAATCCTAACCCTGGCCTGTGCATTTCCAGTAGCCCTCTATCTAACCACCCAGTCGTCGGACGACGTGGGGAGGGCTCACTGCGTTCTCTTTCACAAACCCTAACCCTGGCCTGTGCATTTCCAGTAGCCCTCTATCTAACCACCCAGTCGTCGGACGAGGTGGGGAGGGTTCACTGCGTTCTCTTTCACAAATCCTAACCCTAGGTTACGCATGCCGTGCGGCGGCCCGTGCATCTCCAGTGTTCCTCTATCCAACCACCCAGTCGTCGGATGAGGTGGGGAGGTTCATTGCGCTTCTATCTCAAAACCCTAACCTTATCTGGATTTAAATCAAAATTTTATTGTTAGGGATCACCATTAAGACAGTAATTTTACATTCAGTGCAATATTTTTACTTTTAATGTTGGTCCTCTAAATTAATGTCACAATCTGTCAAAAACAATGCTCATCACCTCTGTGTTTGCTGTCTTTGTTATTCTCCAGGATCCAGTGATCCCTGTTACATTAACAATCACCTATATAGATTTTATCACTTTCTACAGTTACAGTTTGACAACAGCAGGAGTAGTAGTTTCCCCACTCAGTGAAACTTTTCACACAAACCCAGTAAGTACACACCTCTAAAATGATAGTCTCTGATCTCGATATGTGACAGGACTCACTGTATAAGGACATGACATGATTACAGGGAGGAGACTAGAAGCAAAGCAGAACTCAGTGTTGATTGGAAAATTAAACCATTCAGCAGCAGAGTATCAATAGGAATACTTCACAGACAAACTGCCTGGAAAAGAGAAAAATGGACAGGAATTATTGTCAGCTTTGTAAGTACATTAAAAGTTTTTATAATCATTTAGTACTTTTACACCTTTCTATAAAAGATTTCAGCTTCAAATTTTCAAATATGGAATCCTGTTTTTGCCAACAAACATTTTTAGAATGCTTAATGGATGGTTCATGGATAATATGAGAGCAGACAGAAAACATCCTTAAAGATATCTTTCATACATCTTTGGTCTATATTGTAGGTAGTTCTTTCTTATTTACTTTCCTTGTTGCAGCATTTAACACTGTATTTAAACCTTTCGTGCTGATCAAATGATTTTTTTAGTTCACTGACAAATTAAATTTGGTATATAAGTAAACAAATGACGTTAATGGAAATAACATCAAAACAGCAGCAATAATAATAATATTATTAATAACTTTACATATACAGGAGCACCTATGTGGCAATATGTAAAACACCTTAAACAAGTCATTGTGGCTGAAACTGAAATGTATTGGACCAATATTTATAAGACACATCATTTTAACTTATACAAACAACAGTGCATGTTAGCAAATGCAGGACACAGAGAGGTTACACAGAGTTTACTGTATTTGCAAAATTTAAGGCAAATTGAAGGAGGTAGTAAGAGGTGGTTAGCAGGCTCGACACAGAGCAGATGTCCTTGCATTACACAAAGGGAAATCCACAGGCCTGGAAGAGTGTGCACAGAAGGAGGATTGTGAAACAAGAAAATAGAACATCGCAGGAACTGTTAGCCAAGTGACATTTGATGATAGCATGTGCAACAAATTAATATCTGGAGGATTTCCTCAGCATTAAAAATATTGAATGCGAGTAACCAGCCGCAGGTAAGAAAAAAAGGTGAAGGCATACAGAGGGCACAACGGCAGACCACCCCGAAACACATAAACAATAGGACATAAGGACAGAGCAAGAGAGCAAGAAACAGAGAGAAAATGTCAGGGACTGCACAGGAAGACCAATGACCATAACAGACACACAAATAAATGTTACTGCTTGCTATAAAATGACGAAGCATTTGTATGTGATGAACAAAATGTTATAAAATTTAATTCCACTAAAGACCAATGCAAGGAAGAAAGAACATAGGAGTGACTTGCTAGCACACTAGCTATGGAAGACATCTGAAGTTATTTACTGATAGAAACAGACATATGCAAGTTTTAGTTGAAATAATGCAACTGAGCTTTGAGATGTCAATTTTAATTATATAAAATATCAATAACCAAACAAATACCAAGTGAAAAAATCAAAAATGCATATTCGGCAGACTTTATGAATATTTTAACAAAACATTGCTGGTGGGTCTAATACTACCACTGACAAAAAATACAAGCAACTCATAAATAATATGAATTAATCAAATATATTTTGGATTCCTTTGTGTTAAAGTACTGTCATTATCTCTGAATCTATAGAAATAAAGTTATAAAATATTTGTGAGCTGGGGTCACTATTTTCAGCTTAGAAATGAGAGTGAAACAACAATCACTGCTTCCATTTAACATTTGTTAAAACTTTTTTTACTGTCAAATTAAATGTACCACACCAGTTTCATATTTGCTTTACCCATTCCAATCAATCTTGTGTGTAAACAGAAGCTTACACGTAAAGTTCCTCACAGCACCAATAATGTCTTTGTGAAATTCTCCAACAGGTGCAGAATGGGCACACCAACGGATTGCTCTTGTGGGAAAAACTGGAGTTGGGAAAAGTGCCTCTGGAAACACAATCTTAGGACTGAAAACTTTTAAACATAACAATTATGCAACCACAGCATGTCAGATGCACACTGCTCAGGTTCATGGTCAAACCGTGACTGTAGTTGATACTCCAGGTCTGTTTCATGGCAGTAAAAATGAAGAAGAAGTGAAGAAGGAGATCACTAAGTGCATCTCCGTTGTTGATCCTGGTCCTCATGTGTTCTTGGTTGTCATCCGGGCTGGCAGATTCACAGAAGAAGATAATGAAACAGTGAGAATCCTTCAGGAAATGTTTGGAAAGGAGTTAAAATATTACATAATGGTGTTGTTCACCCATGGGGATGATCTGGAGGCAGTTGAAGAGTCTATAGAAGAATTTATCCACAGTAATAAAGCACTCGGTAACTTCCTCAGTTACTGTGATGGAAGGTATCATGTTTTTAACAACAAAGAAAATGACCCCTCTCAGGTCAGAGATCTGCTGAAGAAGACCAACACAATAGTTCAGGGAAATAGAGGAAGCTTTTACACCTATGAAATGTTCAGAAAGGCTCAGAGAGCTAGAAGAGAGGAGATTATTCAGTACATTCTACTTATTATTGGACCTGCCATTGGAGCTGCCATTGGAGCTGCTATTGGAGCTGATATTGGACCTCACTGGGGTCCAGTGGGAGCTGCAGTAGGAGCTACAGCTGGTGTTATAATGGCACTGCAAGCAAAAAAGAAGGGATGCATTATACAGTGATATCCAACGAATCCCTGTTATGAACAGATTGTTTGTAGAGTCACAGATAAGGTTGATCTTAATTTTCCTGTCATTATTGATCATTGATTATGGGAATAATAGCACCAGTGGCAGCGAAATTCTGTATAGTCAGGTCCTGGCTCTATTATTATTATTTTTGGTTGTATAACAAACTGCTTTAAAATGGATGTTGCTGTAAATATTGAACTATTTTTTAATTTTACTGATTCAAGAGTACTTGAAGTCGCCATCCTCAGTCCAGAGCTAGCTAACGAGTGAATGCCTGTTCTTCATATTTAAGACAAGAGTGCCTGATTGATTGATTGATTGTACTTTACTCATTCCGAGGGAAATTGGGTTAAGGCTGCCAGCCGTGCCAGCGCCGTCTTACCCATCCGACCATACATACATTACAAACATCACACTTAAAAAAAAATACAATAAAATAAAAACATCACATGGGGAAGACAGGTCAGAGGGGTATAACATGGAAAAGACCCAGCAGAGGATGTACTTCCTGAGACAACTGGGGGAGTACAGTCTTCCACAGGAGCTGCTGATCTAGAAGCATCTGTGTTGTCTGCATTGTTTTGGTTGTTTAAAGGTACACTTCTATATACTAGCATGAGAAGATCATCTGAAAATTGCAGCTATGTCCAATGTTTTAGAAATTAAGATGACATCGTGGAACTGTAGAGGGCTGCAAAAACTTAAAAAAGTTAAACAAGTGATGAGAAGGTTAAAAGATATGCATTCCAAAATAATTTTTCTCCAAGAGACTCATCTTACTGGAAAAGAGGACTTAAAGATTAAGCGGAGATGGCAGGGAGAGGTATTTTCAGCACCATTTAACTCCCAAGCGAGAGGGGTTTTGACTCTAATACACAAGTCCGTCCCCTTTAATGTTTGTAAGGTGATTGCAGATAGGATGGGAAGGTATTTGATTGTTCAGGGTACTCTCTATACAGAACCTCTGATTTTAGTTAATATTTATGCCCCAAATAAGGATGAACCATCTTTTTTTAATAACCTGTTCTGCACGCTGTCAGCACTTAGTGGTCAATATATTTTAGCGGGAGACTTCAATTGCACTCTGAACCCAAGTATAGATAAATCATCACATTTAGACAAATCTCATAGCCAGAGTAGGGAAACCATTCTTCAGTTTGCTAAGGAATTAAATCTTATGGATATATGGAGAGACAGGAATCCTGGTGTATCGACATATTCATGTTATTCAAGCACACATAAATCATACTCACGAATAGACTACTTTTTATCTCAGCAAGTCTGTCCTATAAAGTGAACGGTTGTGATTATGGCAGTGTCCTTATCTCAGACCATGCCCCAGCCAGTCTGGTCTATTTGGATCCAGGGCTAGTACGAGATCCCCCAAAATGGAAATTTCAGCAAAGAATGGATAAAGGACAAAGACCTACTGGCGTACCTTGACAAACAAATTACTGATTACTTTGAGCTC